GAGTTGATAACGTCCACACCCTAAATCCTCGATTTCTAATGTACAAAACTTGTCCAAATGATAGATCCAAGCCCCTAAGCTCGATCTAGCATGTAAAGTTACGAAATTTATGTGCATGCATGGGACTTTTAAGCCTAAAAGGCCCTAAAATGGTTCTTATAATGCATGGGACCTTCCTTGAGTGCAAAAGAAACTCCAATCTATCTTGTAACTCTTCCCAAGTGCTAGATCCGAATTCTTGACCCCCAACCATGTTTGCAAATCATGGATGGTCACCTCATATGGCTTAAAAGCCCTAAATCTTCACCAAAAAGGGATCTAACAAACAAGCAAGCAAGGTACAGACTTTATACCTTTCAAAGACTTCAAATGATGAACCAAACTTGAATCCTTTAGTCTCCTCTTGATCCTTCTATGCTCTTCCTTCTTCCTTGAGGTCGAAACCCACAAAAATCACTCAACAGCCTTAGCTCTTGCACCAAAACACTTAGGGTTTGCTATGGAGGGTCTTTGGGAGCAATAGGGACATGTGGTGGCTGAAAGAGAAGATTAAATAGGGTGCAAACCCTCATATTAGGGTTTTTGTCCAGTCTGAGCCTACTCGTCGAGTCTGGCCGCCAACTCGACGAGTCCGCCACTTAAGTCCCGTGTCCAAACCCGCTCCTACTCGACGAGTTAGGCCTTCAACTCGCCGAGTCCCAGGCTAAAAATGAAAAATACATTAAATAAAATACATACCAGGAACCAGGTGCTACATCTTGTTACTAGTGGTGTTTGTGACTCCATTAGAAGTGCAACATTTGAGACACTAGGCTTTCAGAAGTCAAGATCAAGAAGGATTGGGATTATTATTACTACATAACAATCAAGGTAATGTTTCTAACCCTAATCATATGTCAATTTCGAATTATATGCTAGTTCATAGGGTTTATTGCTTTGTTATTCAATGTTGTATGTTCAAATTACAAAAACCTAGATCAAAGCAATTAGGGTTGCATGAACACCATATGAATGATGTTATGCTCATAACCCATCAACTACCACATTTATTGATATTTTTTCTTATTGTTCACATGGTCTTCTATTATGAAATTGTAAGTTCAATGAATGTAATATATTTTGGTCTAAAATTTTTGTAGTTGTAACATCCTGATGTGAAGTTGATTCCAAATTTAACCCTAAGTATGAAGATTATTGCATTTTAGCCCTTGTGTATAAGAAATGTTGCAAAATCTGCCATAGTGGGATTTTTATAAATAATGGGTGTGGGCACATACATTGTGAGATCCCAAACCCTAATTTTTAGGGTTTGGACCCTATTTAAGTATCCTTATGGCCTCCAAGTCTCTTCTCTCATCATCATCCATTGCCTTATTTGACCTTAGCAAACCCTAGACCCTTGTTTTAGCACTCTTGACCTTTGGTGTGCATTTTGGTGACCTTGAAGGTGATGGGAAGGAAGTAGAATCACATTGGAAGCTTGAAGAAGTTATAGATTTGGAATCCTCATCTACATAGCAACCTTCAAGAGGTTTAAAGTTCTGAACTTGGCTTGCATTCCTCTAGATCTTGTTAGTTCTTGATTAATGAAGCATTTTGGTCCCAAGTCTTGACCTTTATGAGTATGTCATGCTCCAGACCCTATAAGTTGTCCTTTTAGACATTTTGAGATGTCTAGAAGCATAAAAATATGATCTTGGCTATTAGTTCTTCCCCATGCATGTGTTAGGATGTCCTAATGGATTAAGAAGTTAGGGTTTGTTGGTATTAAGCATTTCTAGCCATGCAAAGTCATAAAGTTGGAAACTTTATGACTTATAATGATATTTTGGGCTTAGATCTGGATTTGGATGTAAGGACTTGATGGATTAAGCTCTTAATAAGAAATTGAGGTGACCAGGTGCATACGTTGGGCGTATAAAATGGTACGTTACACGTACGTGGTCAAATCCTTAACTTCTTGGTCAAGAGGAGTACGTCCCGCGTACATCTGAGTACACCCAACCTACTTGGTTGGGTTGACCCGGTTAGGTTGACTCGTTTGGTTTACTGATTTTGACCTTTTGGCCAAGGTTGAACTAAGGGTAGTTTAGGAATTTTAAGTCTTTTAGGATTATTAACTAAGCTTAGGTCACTAGTTTCATGTAGGTGATCGGTAGAGTTGGTGTTGGAGTTGTACTCGGTGTTGTGTACTTTTATGCTACTCATCGAACTAAGAGGTGTGTTTTCCTTATTGTACTTGTGGGTTGAAGGCACCAATGTCGGCCCGCTAGATTATGTATCCTAGTTATAGGATAGTACTATGCTAGTATATAACTGATAAGTATATCTGTATGATTATCTGTATTTGTTGGTTCTGTTTTTATGTTTTTCTGTTACATATGTCGACATATTGTGGCTGGGTTGAGGCGGTCCTACTATGTGTTGAAGGTCAAGACACCTGGGGTGATCCGGATAGGTTGTAGGCCATGCGAGGCCATCCAATCAGGTTAAAGGCTCGTAGTCTAGTCCAGATAGGTTGTAGGCCTTGCAAGGTGGTCCAATCAGGATGAAGGCCCATGTTTGTACGCTTTTGTTTGTTATGTTTTTTGGTGGTACTTTGGGGGAACTCACTAAGATTTGGATAACGGTTTCAGTTTATTGTTTCAGGTACTTAAGAGGATCGTGGGATAGTGAAGGTGTGATCATGTACATCTTCCTGTTTTTATGACATTGGATCTTGGATACTCTGATTTTGAATAATACTTTTGAAAGAATGGTTTTGTAACACTTTTATGGATGAAATGGGTTGTTTTTGAAAAGTTAAAATTTATTGTGATTTGTGGGAAGTTACAAGTTGGTATTAGAGCCTTGGTTTGAGAGAATTGGATTATGAATTTTATTCAAAATTTAGTACAATAAAAATTCGCGCTTAATGCAAAATATGTGAAATAAACTTAATTTTCCCAATTGCTCCTAATTAACTTGTTTTTTTTTATTGAAACAAATCTGAAATTTTCTTACAAGTAATGTCAGCCAATGAATTGCATGTGATTGGTAGGCCAACAATCATATTGTATCATTTGCCAGGTAATTTTATTTCTGATCGATGTTTATGCTAAAACTATAAGTATAAGAAAAGTTATATTATATGGCTAGAAACCCTTAGCGGAAAGACCTACTGTAAATTTAAATAAAACTTTGAAATAAATTGACAAGCATATAATAGCAACCAATTTGAATATCATGAAGGGAAGTCAACAAGCGTCTAATAATGATACAAAGACATTAGATTTTGTTGTTTTTACTGTTTATGACTTCATCATTACTTTGTTGATCAAATAAAAGATAAAATTTATCGATTAATTTAACAATTCGTATCTTTGTTTTGCTGCAGATGAAATAGCAGGATGCTAGCGCCATCAAACTTGTTTAAAAACTAATTTCTGGTCTCAAGTAACGGTAGAGAGGATTGAATTGACTTCATCTTCTAATGCGCTAATCAGAAGAGGGGTTATGGGAATATTTCTATTTGCTAATTAATGCATTTACATTGAAAATCCACATGTATATATTTAAAGAAAAATCTTCACTTTTGGGATATTGCCATATTATATTTTAGATTAAGGAGTTATCTAAATTAACTTTCATGGGTCGTGCTTAGCACGGGCCTCAAACTATTCTAGTATATATATATATATATATATATATATATATATATATATATATATATATATATATATATATATATATATATATATATATATATATATATATATATATATATATACCATGATTAAGGATATTGTATTGATAATATTACCTCAAGTACAATACTCTAAACAAAAAATTTGGCTTTACTATCACTTCACTTAGATCCATCTTCACGTTAGATCCAATAGCAGGTCATTTATTTTCATGGAAATATCATGAGAATACATTTGCATATTAAGTTGTTATGATCAAAAGAATATACGTAGATAAATATAAGATCCGTGTAGATCAAACGAAAAGGCCTAATTAATATTACTTTTGCGCACTTTTTCATTGTTTAAAAAATAACCAAACATATGAAAATTAATAATCTTTATACTCTATAATTAGATATTAATATCGATATATTTTTATATAAAACAAAGTTCTATTACAATATTCATAGTTTAATGATTTAATCATCATTTTTTTTTATTAAAATGTGGTTGTTGTAATATAATATCTTGTCTGAAAAATAGATTGATCTTGATGAGTAACTATTAAGATGACAAAATTAATAAATTCTATGTATTTTAAGATAGCAGACAAGTGCTAAAAAAATATATAAAAAAAAATGTGATTATCAAATCATAAACTGAAAAAGCTATGCAAAAAACGAACTATGTAAAATACTTTAACAATAGTAACTAAAAGGATATAAAAATATAATGATGTATAACTTTTGTTTATAAAATATCATTATGACCGTTTAGAAAAGACTATTCTAGGCATAGGCTGATCCAATTAAGGACCCTGGGTATCACAGAAGCCCCAAAAATATTAATAGTACAAATTTTTTTCTAGAGATTTTTATTTATATTGTAGAAAAAAATTAAAATATTTTTGGGCTACCCTAATTTTTTTATGCTTTTGTCAATGTTTAATCCGTAGCCCAATTGCTCAAATATAAAGGCCAAATGTGTAATACCAAAAAACTAAAGAAGTATCGATCCCTATATGATATCGTGATTTTAGAATGGAAAATGATTTGATAGGGTAAGATATTTTTTGAAATGTACACATTTAGTTTTTATTTTTTTTCTTGTAAAATAAACTTTTATATTTTATTTTTTGTAAAAATTCAATCCTTGTGACCGGCTATACCCGGTAAACCGGTCATTTACGAATTTCCGTTTAGGGAAAATGACTTGATAGGGTAATATACTTTTTGAATTGTACGCATTTAGTCATTATTCTTTTTTTTTTTTTGTAAAATAAATCCCTTATACTATATTAATATATACACATTATGTCATTTTCACCGGATTCTACAGGTTTTGCTGATGTGGAAGCACAGATGACACTAAATAGCAATTAATTAGCTTAGTCACCAGAGGTGGGTGATCCTCCAGCAACAAGAAAAGGGCGGCGACCCTTCTCTTTCTCGTCTTTCTTCCTTCCGGCCGAACAGCAATAGCCAAATACCCTTTACCTGTTGTGTTTCTTCGATCTGTCTCTCTTTGCCTCCATCTTTGAGATATGTTGCCTGAAAAAGAAGAAAGAATCGACGAGGGGGCTACCAGAGCAGCTCCTCGCCGCCAACTACCGTCTCTACTTCCTCATGCCTCCCACTTCGACCTTGTTGGTTTTGCCATCATTCTTCCTTGTTACCAGTGATGTGTAGGAACACACAAAGGAGTCGTCGGAGATCAGGGTTCTCCCTCTTTTTCATGATGAATAAAAGTTGGAAAAATATCGTTGTGGATATGTGGATGCCACCTGAGTATTTCATTTGAACAAATAAAAGAAAGGGAAAATGACGTGATAGGGTAAGATACTTTTTGAAATGTACACATTTAGTCCTTTTTTTTGTAAAATAAACCCTTCCACGTCAGCAAAACCTGTAGAATCCGGTGAAAATGACCTAATGTCTACATATTAATAAAGTATAAGGGTTTATTTTACAAGAAAAAAAGAATAAGGACTAAATGTGTACATTTCAAAAAATATCTTACCCTATCAAGTCATTATCCCTTTTAGAATTCGTTTCCCAATTCCCTCCCTGTCCCTGCGAGTCTGTGACACACGTTGCTGCCCTCTTTCTTCTGCCGCCAATAGGTGGCCGGTGGTGGGTGTTTTCCGGCAAAATCCTCCGGTGACCGGTAGTGGGTGATTATTGATTGGTGCACAATGAAGCAAGTAGAAATTTTCTGATTATTTTTTGGTTAATTGAAATTTAATTTTTTGGCATTATTTTGAAAAAAATAGAAATTACCAATTAGGATTGTTAAATTAGAGACATAAGGTCACTAATTAGTGATTATTTGTTGTTGAAACTTGAAATTAAGTTATAGAATTAGAGTTGATTGTTGATATATTTTGATTGTAGGTTGTCATTAACAATTTTTTCTAAAGACAATTAGATGTTGGAGACAATAATGGTGAAGGAACTTCCAAAAAAAATAGGGTTAATGAAAGTACACAAGTTCCACAACCTAATCAACATACACCAAAACCACAAGAACCACAATCTAATGAACCTATTCTAAAACCACAAGAACCACAATCTAATGAGAATACTCAAAAACCAAAAGTGTCATGATCTTTTGATTTGAATGATCTTCCTTCGGATACAAGGGAGAGACCAAAGATTACATCATATAATCCTAATCAAATGGATGAAATAAGGAGGGCATATTTGATTAAAGGATCTTGTCAACAAAGGGGCATAATTTTGAATTTACCTTATTTGGTGAGAAGCAAAGACGTTTTATTGTGGAATGGTTTAGGGAATTTTCATGGTTACAGTATAACATTAAAAAGAAAGGCATATTGCTTTTGTTGCTATTTGTTTAGAGACATGGTAGGGGGTCAAGGGGGAAAAGATGTTTTTATAACCGAAGGCTTTGATAATTGGAGTAAAAAAAATCATTCCGGAAACATATGGGTGAGATTCATATTTCTCACCATAAGGCCGAAGAAAAGTGTCATTTGTTATTGAGAAAAAATCAATCTATTAGTGAAGTTTTGCATAAACAAACGGAACTTAAGAAAAATAATTATGAAATTCGGTTACGTGCTACAATTCGTAGTTGTAGAATTTTATTGAAAAATGCATTACCATTTCGTGGACATGATGAGACGGAAAAGTCTAATAATAAAGGAGATTTTATTGAAGTCTTATCTTTGATTAGAGAAGATAATGAGAAGATTTTTAAAGTTACTTTAGAAAATGCTCCAAAAAATGAAATTTTAACTTCTCCAACGAATCAAAAAGATATTGCCAATTGCTTTTCAAAAGAGATAATCAAGTCTATCTGTGATAAAATTGGTAAAGATGTGTTTGGTATATTAGTTGATGAGTCTAGTGATGTTTCCAAAAAAGAACAAATGGCTATAGTTTCGAGATATGTTGATAGACTTGGGATTGTAAAGGAAAGATTTATCGGTGTTGTTCACGTGTTGGATACATCCTCTTTGTCTCTTAAAGTCGCCATTGATACCGTGTTTTCCAACAACAACTTGACTATCGATCAGGTGAGAAATCATAAAATATTTATTCCTTTAACATGATATTAGTTTTATTTTTATGTGTTATATTTTTTTATTATTTTTTTCAAATATATAGGTGAGGGGGCAAGGTTATGATGGAGCAAGTAATATGAGTGGTGCATTCAACGGTTTGAAATCTTTGATTTTAAATGAAAATAGTTTTGCACATTATATAGTGGTTGTGGCGGTTGCAAAGAAACATGATGATGTTGATGAATTCTTTGAATAACTAGGTTTGGTGGTTACTGTCGTTTGTGGGTCTTGTAAGAGAAAAGATATGATACGAGAGAAGCAAAAAGAAAGAGTGGCAACTGAAATTGGTATAGGTGAAACTGAAACAGGAAGAGGGTTGAATCAAGTGATTTCTCTTATTCGAGCTGGAGATACTAGATGAGGTTCACATTTTAGAACAATTGTAAGTTTGCAGAATTTGTTGCAAGTTGTTGCAGTCCTTAAATATGTCAAAGATGTGGGGTCTACTTTATCCAACCGTAATCAAGGAAAGGGTATTTTGTCATATTTCAAAACACTTGATTTCGTATTTCTTTTACACTTGATGTTGGAAATTCTACGCCTCACCGATACTTTGTCAAAGAATCTTAAAAAAAAAGATCAAGATATTTTGGAAGCGGCTTCGTTAGTAAAAGGGACAAAGAAAGCATTGCTAGTTTTTAGAAAAGATGGGTTTCCACAAATTTGGAACAAGGTGTGTGCTTTTTGTGAAAAATATAGTATTAGAATTGTGGACATGTCAAAATATCATGTTACCCCACGAAAGCGTAGGACCAATAAGACTAATCAACATCATTTTGAAGTTGTGATTTTTAACACGGTTTTGGATATACAAATTCAAGAATTTGGGGATAGATTTAGTGAAGTTGGCACGGATTTGATAGAGAACACGGCGGCTTTGAGTCCTTGTGACTCATTTTCTAGTTTTGATAAAGCAAAATTGTTAAAGTTAAGCGAGATATACAAAAACGATTTTAACGATTCAGAAAGGGCGCAACTTAATGGGCAACTTGATATTTATTATCACTCTTTGCTCCATGATGAGAAATTTTTCAATTTGAAGGGAATTGCAGACTTCTCTCGTTTGTTGGTGGAAACTGGGAAGCACCTCTATTTTCCATTGGTTTATAAATTATTAAAACTAACTTTGGTTTTGCCCATTGCAACTGCAACAGTTGAACGGTGTTTTTCTGCAATGAAGTTTTTGAAGACCGATTTGCGTAATAGAATAGGTGACGATTTTATGAATAGTGCTTTGATTTGTAGTGTAGAATAGGAAGCACTAGAGAATGTTAAGACTGAAAATATAATTACTCACTTTCGTAAAATGAAAGAGTGAGATTTATACTTTAAAACGTAACTTTGTGATAGAATTTGAGCTTTATGTCTAATGAAATTAGAGTTTTTTTTTCTTACTGTATATTACACGATTTTTTTTTCTCGGGATACCCTTTTACTTTGACCCTGACTTCGCCACTGATTCTAGGTCACAATGTTATTTGAAAAACAAATATTAAAGTTTGTTTTTTTAGTTTAAAGGTATCTATAAAACAATACTTTATATAGTTGTTGCCCTATTATAACATTAACCCTAAATTTGAAGGGATCAAATTTTTGTTTTTCATTGACTTCCATAACACAACATCCAAACTTAACTCATTTGGAATATTAAAACATCCAAGTGATCAGCCGGCATAAGTTTATCATCACAATTCCTTCCAAAGTTTTGCACTTGGAAAAAAAATAAACAAAAACAAATCAAAACACAAATGACAAAACCTTTGATGAAAAAGAGTGTAATTCCCTTTGGAATATGCTCAAAATCCAATTACTTTGTTGGCAACCTTCTAGTATAACCTTCCTTAACCCCAAATCTATATAAAAAAACATACGATGAAAGATCAAAAAAAGGGTTGTCGATTTCAAAACAGGAATGAAGTACTTATCATGTTGCAGCCCAGACTTCTTCTTTCATGTAGCAGTCATCTCCATGATCGTCTTGTTTGCAGGCATGATGTCTGGACTCACACTTGGACTCATGTCAATGAGCCTCGTTGACCTTGAAGTTCTTGCAAAATCGGGAAAACCCATGGATCGTCTTCGTGCATGTAGCCATTTAATCTTTATTTTTTATTTTTATGTTCCCAAGTTAATCTAAAATTTTATAAAACTTCTTGAAATTTAGTATAAATCTTGTCTCACTGCAGCAAAGATTTTATCGGTTGTGAAAAGGCATCATTTAGTTCTTTGCACACTCTTAATCAGCAATGCCACGGCCATGGAGGTATATAATTAATTAAACATGAACCAAAAAAAAAACATAATTTTTATAACTTTTTAAACGTAGTTAAAATGTGGTATATTATTATTTCAGGCACTTCCTATATTCTTGAACAATTTGGTCCCTGAATCGGTTGCTATTATTATTTCCGTGACACTGATTCTTCTGTTTGGTGAGGTTAGCATTTCATTTGTAGTAATAGTCAGGGGCTCAATTATCGAAAACTGCAGTTGCAGTGTGAAAGTTTCAGTTCCAAAGCGGATTTGGGTTTCTTTTGGACATTAAGCTTTTATGTCAGCTCTTTAGTAGGACACTGTGGATCAGCTCAGAGTTGTTAAAAGAATACATATTGTATTTTAACAAAGTCAAAATGTAAAAAAAAAATGGTCAATTGAAGTGTTGGTTTCTACGTTTGAGCAGATAATACCACAGTCTATTTGCACGCATTATGGCCTAGCGATCGGTGCAGCCGTGACTCCACTAGTTCGTGTTCTAGTTTGGATTTGGTTTCCTGTTGCATATCCGATAAGCAAGGTGAGTTTTTTTTTTCTTATTAAGCCATTATACTTTGAATAATTTACAGTTTAGCCCTGATTGATAATTTTTACTATTGAATTAGGTGCTAGATTGCATATTGGGGAAGGGACACGTGAGTCTTTTTCGTCGAGCTGAGTTAAAGACGTTAGTTGATTTTCATGGTAATAAGGTAAAATATTTACTTTTTTTAATAGTTAAATACAAGAAACGACAACGTACCTTCATTTATTTTTTGTATTTCTTTTTGTTATAACAATATAATTCCAATCTTTTTTTATTAACGTGTTGTATTTTAAGAAATCTACTCAATCACAACGTTGTGGTTTTACTTTTTTAATTTTTTATTATTACAACGTTACTCTTTGAAAAAACTTTACCCAATTATAACAATGGAAATTGTTATGTACTTCTGCATAGATTTTTCATAATACAATGTTGTAATACGATGAAACGAAAGCAAAATCTTATAATTAACAAATCACCAAAAATATATTGTTATTTCTTGAAGATTAATATATATGATGAAGATTCATGGTGTACTTTATGAAGGCGGGGAAAGGTGGAAGTTTGTCACTTCACGAGACAACAATCATTGGAGGAGCACTTGAACTTACCGCAAAAACAGCAAGTGATGCAATGACTCCTTTATCTCAAATTTTTTCAGTTGATATCAATGCCAAACTTGATAGGTACCACACATTAATCATTAACACCTCAAGCCCAAAGCTACAAAGTTACAACTAGTCCAATAACCTCTAATCAATATTTTTCTCAAAAAACTATTACATTTAAACAGAATGGTAAAGTAGTCATGTTATCATTTAGTACAATTATTCAGATGTCTAAACAAACAACATGTTTTTAGTCGTACACAAAAATTTTCAAAGTTTATGTCTAATTCATACATGGATTCAAATTCTACGAAACAATCCCTGGACCTTGGTAGAAGTTATTGGACCCACAACTTAATTATCACTTTTTATCCATGTGGGACCGAGTTATTAAGTATCAATAATGTAACAAGATTTAGTTTCATTTTCAATTATATTAAATAACAAGTTGCTATGTCTCAGGAATTTGATGAATACGATAATCGAGAAGGGGTATAGCAGAGTGCCAGTATATTATGATCAACCGGGAAACATAATCGGAGCCCTTTTGGTAATTAGTGGGTTAACGTAAATATTAGGGATAATCGCATAAAAGATCAACATATGATATGAGATGTAATAAATTAACCACTTTTTTACAAATACTTCAAATTACCACCAATTTTATTGATTTTGAGTCACGAAACTCTAAAAAGGATTTGCGAAATCGTATTTTGCTGACAAAAAAAAAAGATTTTGCTAACAATATTGTAACTATGAATATATTTTTCTAATAGAATAATTTCACAACCGATCAATTGCAAATTGATAGTCCTTTTGTGTTATTGGTTAAAAAGATGGTGTTATTATCTTCGGGTAATTACTCGAATTATTTTCTTGAGGTTATGTATGAATAAATTTGTTCATCGTGAACTTGTAGGTGAAGAATCTAATGACTATAAATCCAGCAGATTGTGTACCAATAAAAAATATCACTCTTCGCCTGATTCCAAGGTATATTTCAATATTGAGTTTAATAGCTTATGCAATGTAACAAAATATTATATATATTTTTTGGTATTTTATAGAGTTTCAGACACAATGCCATTATATGACATTTTAAATGAGTTCCAAAAGGGGCTTAGTCATATAGCTGTAGTCATAAAACTGCCAAGTGGAAGAATCGAGCAACCAACCAACAAGGGCCCGAGTGAAGGTGAGTATGTGATGCAACATTTTTCTAGTATTGTCTTATTAAAAAAAAAAAAAAAAAGCAATAATAAAGCAATAATTCTTTTCGAAAAACATAAGGAAATATTAAATAATAGTTAGAACTTAATTGGAAAGCAATTTCCCTAGATTTCTCTATTAAAATAGACAGATATATATATTGTTTCATATGAACTAACATAAATGTTCATTTTACCGTTGAAACATATTTAATCAATTAAAAGGATCAAACATCAATAATCAAGAAAATCGTTTTTTTTTTCTTGAACATGTCATCATTAAATCCATTATGTAGAACAAATTGTTTCTTTATTGAACTGAATAAACCGTATGATCAAACGTAAATGACCATTTTACACTTAGAACATTCTTGATCAAAAAGATCAAACATCAATAACCCTAACCCAAACTTTTTCTTGAACATGTACTCACTAAATCCATTAAGTTGAATAAAGATTGTCTCTTTATTGGACGGAATAAACCATATGAACAAACTTTAATGACCATTTTACCCCTTGGAACATTTTTAACCGATCAAAAAGATCAAACATCAATAACCCAATAAAATTCACTTTTTTTCTTGAACATGTACTCACTAAATCCATTATGTTGAACAAAATTTGTCTCTTTATTGGACCAAATAAACCATTTGAACGAACGTAGATGACCATTTTACCACAGGAACGTTCTTAACCGATCAAAAAGACCAAACATCAATAACTCAGTAAAATTCACTTTTTTTCTTGAACATGTACTCACTAAATCCATTAAGTTGAACAAAAGGTGTCTCTTTATTGGACCAAATAAACCATTTGAACAAACGTAAATAACCATTTTACCCCTTGGAACATTCTTAAGTCTTAACCGATCATAAAGATCAAACATCAAAAACCTACGAAATTTCACTTTTTTCTTGAACATGTCATCATTAAATCCATTAAGTAGAACAAAGATTGTTTCTTTAGGGGACGAGTAAACCGTATTAAGGAACGTAAATGACCATTTTACCTTTGGGAACATCTTTAACCGATCAAAAAGATCAAAACATCAATAACCAAGGAAATCATTTTCTTTCTAGAGCATGTCCCCATTAACTCCATTAAGATATAATCTTCTCTCCTTCCTATAGCCAAGTATTGAAAGGGAATCTATTTGCAGTGAGAGTAGATATTTTGAACGAAAGGTGTCAAAGCTATGGAGGTTCAAGAAGCAGGAGAGCATTTAACAAATTTAAGACGATTTCTGGTAGTGGTAATGTGTCAAGGGCAGAATCGTCAAAGAGCAGAAGGTGGTCGGATAAGTTCCTTCCTGAAGTACTTAATATAATGGAAAAACCATTTTCTTCTTTTAGACAAGAAGGGGAAGTCGTAGGCATCATTACAATGGAAGATGTTATGGAGGAGCTTCTAAATGTATGATCACTTTAATCTTTTCAAAGATTCTAACCACTTTGAATATTGATTTTTTTTTATTAATTTTGGGTTTTGATTTATTGTGTAGGATGAGATATTCGATGAAACAGATCATCATAAGGAGTAATAAGGTGGAAACAAAGCCATATAGAGGAAACTTGGTGATCTTGCAACTGTATAATTGTAGTTGCAAATGAATCTTTGATGAAAATAGTATTGAATTCGTTTAATTTATACTAATAAAATGATTGCTTTCTTTACATCAATTACACAAAAGTAAATCAGAAGCTTTTATTATACGAGTACATTGTATTTTGATCTCGAATAGTGAAGGAGCTACAATGTATTTGAAAACCCAAACACAATGCTCACTTAAGCATTTCATCGAACACCTACACTGCGTTGTTTTCCATTGTAGCAAGATGAAACCTTTGTCATTAATGCAACAAACAATGTGCGATTAGAAGTGGGTTCTCTCTCCTCATTCCCTCGATAAGCGTTCATTGTCTCATTTTCCCAAGATTTTCTAATTGTGGATTTGTACACCTCATGACTGCGCATGTTTCAATAACAACGGATTCTTGCGAAACAAGTTTCAATTTTGACACCTCTGAATGTAATTTCCTTAAACTCCTGTAAGTCTTTACATCATCACAAGGAAGTTCATTGTACTAGGGTGGATGATTGGAGCGTCGGCGACATCAAGAAACATGGGTTTGATGTAAATGATTCTACAAAAGTGAAATTCTAGTGGGTGTTTCTTCTGAAAATCGGATCTTTGACTTAAGAACGTAAATGAACAGTGAACTCATCAAGGTGAACTGCTTGCTTGCTAAGCTCACCAAATCACAACAATACACAAAAACCCTTCAATTGTTCCACAAAATTCAGTCTTCCCACTATCTAAAACCAGATCAATATACCCTCTCTACAACCCTCACCGCTAGCGCCAATCTCCGTGATGACACCGCCGGAAACCAGGTCCACGCGCACGTTATCAAAACCGGCTATAAAATCTACTCACACGTAGCCAACACTCTGCTCTTCCTCTACTCCAAATCAGAAGACTTGACTTCAGTAAAACGGGTTTTCGCAGAGATAAAATTCCCGGATGTGTATTCATGGACAACACTATTGTCTGCGTGCACAAACCTCGGGGAAGTTGATTATGCATGCCACCTGCTCGATCAAATACCCCACAGAAACGAAGCTGTCTGGAACGCCGTAATCACAGGTTGCGCAGATAATGGGTATCCATCCATCGCATTGGATATGTTCAATCGAATGCACTTGTTGGGAATTAGACATGATAACTATAGTTACGCTAGCGTTTTGAGCATGTGTTCTTCAGAGTTAATCGACTATGGTGTACAAGTTCACTCACTGGTAATCAAGACTGGTTTTTTAGTCAAACCTTCAGTTACAAATGCTCTTATCACGATGTATTTCAACTTCGGAAACGCTAATGACGCACACCAAGTGTTTGATGAAACAGAACATGATCATATCACTTATAATGCAATGATTTCCGGTCTGGTGAGCATGGGAAAAGACGAAAATGCCCTCGTAATGTTCAAAAACATGCAAGAAATCGGTCTCAACCCAACCGAACGAACTTACGTGAGTCTTATGAGCTCAAGTCCTTGTAAAAACTTATCTACACAACTACACGCCCATTCCATCAAGACCGGATTCCACGATTCCAATTCCGTAA